TTTGATGGTGGTAAGGAGTGGCAATCAAGTGATTTATCCCATAAGCTTCCTAAAGGCTTTCCATAGTTCCTACCAGGAAATTAGTTCCTGCATCTGTGAGGATGTCAGAGAGCCAACCTACCCTGGCAAAAATGTCTGCTAGTGCCCAGCACACACTTTTATCTTTCCATTTCCTCAGGAACCCCCTCTAAGAATTGTTCCATTTGCATTAGGAAGGGCAAATTTACTGGAGACTCACCACTTGCTCCTGATATCCAGGCATCCCAATGTTTCACAATGTGGTAGGCATGTCGGGTAAATGACACGTCTGGTTTCCACCTTAGGGCTCTGAAACTCTGACGAGAATGCTCGGGTGTTATCCCCATTCTGACTCTCGCCTTGGATTTAAACAGTTCATACTTGTTCATGTGTTCTTTAGGCATTTCAGCTGCCACCTCAGCTAAAGATCCACTGAGCTGTGGCCTCAGCTCTACCATGTATTGGTCAGTAGAGATGTTGTACCCAAGGCAGGCCCTTTCGAAGTTTTCTAAGAAGGCCTCAGTATCATCACCTGCCTTGTAGGTGGGGAACTTTCTGGGATGGGAAGTGGTACCTGGAGAAGGATTGCTAGCATTTGTTGGGATATTCCACTGAGCCTTTATCTTCTCCACCTCCTCCACATGCTTCCTCTCTTTTTCCTTCTCCTCCAGTTCTTTGGCCCTTGCTTCCATTTCTTTGGCCCTTGCTTCCATTTTCAGCCGCATGAGTTCTATCTGTCTTTCATGTTCCCTTTGTTTTTCCGCAGCCTGAAATCTGCTAATTCCAGCTTTTGTTGAGCTGTGGATTTTATCATTCTAACCTCTCTGTTTTTAACTAACTTTACACCCAAGGTTTAGAAATAAACAAACAAAACTTGGCTGTAAAATTTTGCTGTGCTGGAATAGAATACCTATTCTCTGATAGTGATTGTCAGCCTACAGAAAAAGACAATTCCCTTGTCTCTGCTCTGGGCCCAAATCAAAGCAAAAAACCTCCAACTACTTGGAAACCTGCTTACCAGCAGCCCAAAGGAAAAAAAAAATCCTTTTCAAACCTGTGCTCCTTGTAAAACAAAAAAATCAAAATCCTAAAAAAAAACCCCTGCCACTTGTGTCTCCAGGCAAATGGGTAGAACACCCCCCCCCTTTTACTTTTAGGAAAAAAAACAAAACAAACAACTTCTGGTTTACCAAGACTGTGAATTTCCCTGCAGGAGGCTAAGTACCCTGCCTCCAGGCAAAGAAAACCTGCAATTCACAAAGATAATCCCCTTTTGTCTCAGCTCTGGCTCCAAAGCAGAGAGAAAACAAGCTGCTTTCCGTTTCAGCTGCTTTCTGGACTTCCTTTCCAAAGGGAAAAAAAAATTTCCTTTTTAAAATCTGTATTTCTAGTTCAAAAAATCTCAACTGGATCTCAAAATGATTTCAGGTTAATCCCACCACTCTGCCACCATGTCAAGGTTCCTTCCACACTCTGAACGTTAGGGTACAGATGTGGGGACCTGCATGAAAAACCTCCTAAGCTTATCTTTACCAGCTTAGGTCAAAACTTCCCCTAGGTACAAAATATTCCACCCTTTGTCCTTGGATTGGCCGCTACCACCACCAAACAAATACTGGTTACTGGGGAAGAGCTGTTTGGAAACGTCTTTCCCCCCAAAATACTTCCCAAAACCTTGCACCCCACTTCCCGGACAAGGTTTGGTAAAAAGCCTCACCAATTTGCCTAGGTGACTACAGACCCAGACCCTTGGATCTTAAGAACAATGAACAATCCTCCCAACACTTGTACCCCCGCTTTCCTGGGGAATGTTGGATAAAAAGCCTCACCAATTTGCATAGGTGACCACAGACCCAAACCCTTGGATCTGAGAACAATGAAAAAGCATTCAGTTTTCTTACAAGAAGACTTTTAATAGAGATAGAAGTAAATAGAAGTGAAGAAATCCCCCCGGTAACATCAGGATGGTAGATACCTTACAGGGTAATTAGATTCAAAACATAGAGAACCCCTCTAGGCAAAACCTTAAGTTATAAAAAGACACACAGACAGAAATAGTTATTCTATTCAGCACCATTCTTTTCTCAGCCATTTAAAGAAATCATAATCTAACGCATACCTAGCTAGATTACTTAGTAAAAGTTCTAAGACTCCATTCCGGTCTGTCCCCGGTAAAGCAGCATTAGACAGACAGACCAGACCCTCTGTTTCTCTCCCTCCTCCCAGCTTTTGAAAGTATCTTGTCTCCTCATTGGTCATTTTGGTCAGGTGCAGGCGAGGTTACCTTTAGCTTCTTAACCCTTTACAGGTGAGAGGATTTTTTTCTCTGGCCAGGAGGGATTTTAAAGGGGTTTACCCTTCCCTTTATATTTATGACAGTCCCGTTGGACTTGAGACCTGGAGCAGCCTTTGACCAGCCAGTTGTTGAGATACGGGTATATTTGAATACCTTGATGCCTGAGGTAAGCTGCTACCACCGACATGCATTCGGTAAACACCCTTGGTGCTGTCGCTAGGCTAAAAGGGAGGACCAGTAACTGGTAGTGGTCCGATCCCACCATGAAAAACAGGAAGCGTCTGTGTCCTTGGAAGATTGCTATAGGACAGTACGCATCCTTCAAGTTGAGGGCAGCATACCAGTCTACCGGATCCAGGAAGAGGATGATGGAGGCCAGCGCTGACATCTCCTACGATGGAGAGCGGTGCTGCTGAGATGGGGACCTATAGAAAAGCCCCAAGGCGGGTTTACCCCTAGACTGGGGTACCGTTGTAGGTGGTGTGGGTGGTACCAGTAGCACCAGGATATCCTGTGCTGCCTGCAGGGCCTCAGGTGTCGACAGGACCTCTAACTGATGAAGGCCCTCGTCCCTGTCTGGTGTGGCTGGCATGCGTCGGGGTGGGCTGGACCACTCGACCTGAGCTGGGACCCGACTCCTGGTAGGAGGTATTGAACCGTCCTCCTCAGGGCCTTGGCTCCCCTCCTGCCCTCTCCTTCCCCTTGCGGGATGCAGGAGATCTTTCTCTCCAAGTTTTCTTTTGCTGCTTGGCAGGTTCCGGGGAGGGGGATCGGCGCCAGTCCATCAACAGCACCGGTGGGGCACTCCGCACAAACGCTGCAGTGCTCGGGTCAGAGTTGGATCTCGACTGCTCTGCCAGAGTTACAGCCGACTCCATTAGGAGCACTTTGAGATGGAAGTTTCTCTCCTTCTTAGTCTGAGGTTTGAAGGACTTGCAAATACAGCACGTCGCTTAGATGCGACTCGCCAAGACACCTTAAACAACTATTATGCGGATCGCTGATGGACATCGGTTTCTTGCAGCGATCACAGGGCTTAAAGCCTGGGGACCGGGACATGCCCCATCCCTAAGCTAAGTCCTGTTCGGGATCAAGTAAAACACTAACACACTAAGGGAAACTTAACTATGTACAACTATTTTACAAGAAAAGTTCAAAACATTGAACAAAGCGAAAAAATCTAGCCAAAGCAGCAGACGTTCCAGCACCATCTGATGGCAAGAAGGAACTGAGGGTGGGGGGGAGTTGGCGGCGCCCCTTATACCACAGCATGTGCATACCACTCCAGAAGGCGCCAGAGCCGGTCCACTATGGATACCACTGAGGGAAAAACTTCCGGCACCAGTGCATGTGGTGAGCGCACACACCTAATATGGAATAGATATGAGCAAGCATTCCCCATGTTGGTCATTTGGGGCCCAGGTGTGAGAGAGTCCTTGATCAGGATGCTGGAGGTTTCAGGGATGATGATCCCAATTCAATCAAAGCAGCATTCTAATATTATTCATGCACTCCCTCTCACTGACTATATACACACACAATTCCTCCCAGTTACTGCTGGTTGGGCCCTCCCAAGGAGTAGAGGCCTGTGAGAGGAAGAGAGCTACCCAGGTGCCAACAGGAGATTGAAGGTAGATAAGGAAAGGTGGGAACAAAATTGATAACATTTTCACAGGAAGGGAAAAAAGGGATCAGAAAGAGAGCAGCAGCTAAGGACCAGCTCCTGAGAAAGTGGTATTGGCTCCATTCTGTTTCATTTCTCCCCTGCTTGAAACCTCCTGGCAGTTCATCTTCTTCCCTCACAAGCTCTCTCTCTTCCACTCTCTTCCTCTTTCCCAACCAAAAAAAAAAAGGGAGGAGAATTTCATCTCCCTCCACCTACCCAATACAATGTGGTATGTACTGCATAATGCAGTACAGTTAAGAACTATAAGCAAAATGAAAGGTGCTTGTGATATAGTTATTCTTTACAAGCTGCCAGCAGATTGTACTGCATCAGTGCTACCTGAGTTCCTGCTACTGTACTGCCTAGTATAAATGTTTTCCTATTATAAAGAATTTTTTAATTGCCATTGTTCTTGGAGATGGTCAATATTTGTTTTATTTACTCCTTTTTTACTTTGTTTACTGTAATGATCATTTATCTTGGAGCATTTTAGGATGAGAGAAGGGTGGCCTTGATGTCTTATCATCCTTAATATGTGTAATCTTGGCTCAGGCTTGTTCTCTTGTCCCTTCATTACTTATCCTTTTCTTTGGTGAAGATTGTCGTGGGGTTGGGAGACAACTACAGTTGTCAAAATAACAAACAAGGTACATTTTGTGATGTGATGTCCTTGCTTTTTAATGTCTTCACTTACAGATTCATTAGATTCAGAATTTGCAGTGGGAGGCACAGTCATTCATTAGTGCAAATGAATAAGGTTCAATTTTACTATACTTAACTCTCTTAGATGTCATTTAGGCAAATCACACATACTTAGTTCTCCAGCCTCTGAAATAATTTTTAGCTCCCTCCAATTTAATTGGCATAAATCACTTATAATTTAGGTGAACTCACACCTTTATTAATGTACCACATAAATTCATGAAAATAGCTCATGTTACTTTGTGTAGAGTGGCAGAGTAACTTAAGTGATGAAAAGTCCTGATGCACGTAGGAGTAGTAAATAATATATGATAGAAGTACATTGAGCCAATCAGATCACAGCTTTTATCAAAGCCATTTACAAGTTAACAGCTCCCCAGTAAATTGTGCATTTTGAATAACAAAGCATAACACAATCCAATATATAGAAAAATAAAATTTTGGTAGAATTCAATTGCTATATTGATAACATACAAGAACAGATATAGCAATATTTTTCTGCATTTATGCTTTTACCAGTGCAATACGATAGATATGTTACAGAAATGTTTAAATCACATTTTAAGAAATCGGTTTTATGTGTGTACAAAATTTTGTATAAGTTAAATTTAATGGAATTTACAGTGAATATTGAAAGCATGATACAAATGGTAATTTTTAAAATGTTCTTACTCTATAATAAGGAAGCACAGTTTGCTAAAAGTAGCATTTAATATAATTCACATCAATAAGATTTTATAATTTGTTACATCTTTGCAGTTCAGAAAATGCCCTCAATACTGGAAAAAAAATAAAAATAATTTTATATTATTGTGCATTTAGAACAAAAAAATCCAAAACGTTGCCTATGAAAAAGAATGACAAGATCTAGGTATACTTATTTAATTCATGTACACATGAATTTTTACATGAACTTAAAGGGGATGAAAATATTTAATACTAATAGAAAATTATTAGTTTAATGTGCAAAGCTTATGTAACTGTCATTCCATTTGGGTTCTCTAGATCCATAACTAAAACTGAACATGAACATAAAAGCAGCAAAAATTCACATTACCTTTCATGTATTCTTAAATCTCAAATTACATTAGTTTACCTTATGAAATTTTAAAATACACAGATTAAAACAAAACAAAACTGTAAGACACCAGACCAAGAGAGAATGTGTTAGAGTTTCTCTTTTATTCTTTAAAGATTACCCAACATTCTCTTGGTAATAATCCAAGATATTATGTAAACAAATTTCAATGCTGCTCATGAATTAAAATATTCTGTTCAGTTCCTACAATAAGTCAGAATAGTGGCACCAACTGTTTTAACATTAATCACATTCATCTTACCGTACATGACTCTTGTGCAAGTAATCAAGGCATTATTCATGACCTTGGCTACATCAATGTAGTAGTGAGGATATCAGCTATTGTAAGTATTTAAAAAACAAAACAAAAACCTGAACAGACAGAATTTGGCATTCTGTCATCTCAAAAAGCCAGCAGCATTTTTCTACATACTTAGGATACATTTGGCCTAAGCTTTTAACACCTTTTAGAACAGCCATGCAATAAAACAATCTTGGAGATGTTGCATAAAGTGAGAAGACAGAGCAATTTGTACATTTTTCTCTATAATAAAGCCAAGATAAAGCAAATTCCAAGGTCCTTTTGAATGACTGCTATGTTTCATACACTTATAGCTCTATAAAACTAGAGCCCACTAGAGAGAGAGAGTGAGTGTGTGTGTGTATATATATATTTTATATATATATATATATATATATATATTTAATATATTTTTAAATAAAGTCATTTGTCTGCTTTCAAAATTTATGGTTTTGTTTGTTTTTTCCTGGTCAGTCTTTTGAAGGGGCAATAAATAAACTAGACACGGCTGAACTGTTTTGCATATCTCTGTGGAAGAACGGAGAACATTTATACTTTAGAGTTCCAGAAACATGACTGTACAGAACAAACAGCTTATATACAACTAAGTGTGCAATTTTAGTTGGCTGGGCATTTTAATAATGCAATATATCCTCTTGACAAGAAGCCACTTCTACTCTTGACCAAATCCCTCCGTTTCTTCAATTGCGAAGAGCAGCTTCTCTTTTAGCTGTTCATAGCTTTTATATGGAGGCAGATCCAAACGATTAAAACTGAACAAAACAGAAGAGGTGGTGGGGAAAGAGGAGGAAAAATAACATTTTTATAAATTTGTCTAAATCCCATTTACAATATTTTGTGTAATTACATTTTTGCTTTTAAGAATATTGCAAAACTAAACTGTTACAGACAGAAGTTTTACATACTCTGATCTGTGGGTCAGAACACAGGAATGGGAATCAGGAGTTTGGCTCTCACTGACTGTGTAATATTGGGCAAGTCACTTACACACTCTGCTTTACTAGGGATTATTCGTTTTTAAGTGCTTTTGGATACTTGATGAAACCCCCCTACAGATGCAATGATTATATTTCCCCAAAAATTATCTTCACCTTTATAAAGAGTATGTGGTTCAAGTGCATACAACCCCAGTTTGGTTAATGAAACCAAATGAGTTAATGAGTATATTTAGAGCACAGTATATACTCATGTGAACCATTCTTCCTGAAAAGGGGTGATTTATTTAGTCATGGGGGGTTCTTTGAAAGCTAAACTATACCCATAGCTATATTATAGAATTAAAAGTATCTGGAAGCTTTTATTCAATCTTTTTGCAACGTCTGAAGTTAAACTGTTAGCTAATCCTCATGTCACCCTAATGTTCTTTCAATGGAGAAATTATAATCTGATCAAATACTTCCTATTTCATATAACATATAGAAAAGCTCATAAGAAAATATGTATAATTACAGCCATATGCCCATTTCTACTGTACAGTCTTGTGCAGACTATGTGAAGGATTCTCACATTTTTTGGATAGAGAAGGTTCACTAAAAAGTGGATAAAAGAATGATTTTAAGATAATCAAGTCTGAAAAGTAAAATGGATGAGTCTAAGGTAATGGATGAGTCTACACTGAAAATCCCGAGTGCCATAGCTATGCTGACCTAGCCCCTGATGTAGATGCAGCTAAATCAACAGGAGAATGCTTCTGTTGGCCTGGCTACCATTGCTCAGGGAGGTGGTGTTCCTACAGTAACAGATAAAACCCTTCTTTCTCTGTAGGCTGCGTCTACGCTATGGAGGTATGATGGCATAGCTACAGCATGGTGATAATTCCCCTATTATCCTCATAGTGTAGACAGGGCCTTACTGAACCTTTGGAGAAGAAAAAGGGAAGACGATAGAGGGACTCTAATAAATCCATTTAAATCATCTGTTATGAAAAGCTGATGTCTTCTTCATCTGATATCTCTATTAATAATTCTGGCATAAGTGGGAAAAACTCCTATTTTCCTCCTCTATTTCATGTAGTTGCACCTGGAAACACTTCTCCTGAAATTCCCACCTCTGATCATTAGAGACTGTTGCTGGCAATGCTAAGACTGCTTCTTCTGCTCTACTTCAGGGACCCTGTTGGCTACCACAAGCAGGGAGGAAACATCTTCAACTTCAGCACAGATCCATTCAAGGAAATAATACCACACAGGGAAAAATAATAGGATGGGGGAGCCTCACAACAAGTGACAGAAAAAACTGGATATGCTCCCACCAAGATGCCAGAAGAAGAAACAATCCTACTGGCTGCCCACAATCACTCTCTCTACCGCAGAAGTATAACAGGTACAGGGAGCCTGGGTCCGCATGGGGTAGAGTAGTGAGGACTGAAGAGAGCCATTTGGATAGGCAATTCAGATTCTAGGATGCTATTTGAAGTTCTGAATGTTTGTGGGGGTTCCAATCACTTTATAAGGTTCTTGGTGGCATTTTGCACACATATTTTCAGAAAGTTACACTGTAATGAAATATCACATGACAACTGACTCCAATACTAACTTAGCTGTGTAGCAGAAACAATGACTTGCTCTTTGAAGCAAAAATAGCCTGGGTGCATGTAAAATAAGGGATTTTATCTTACAACTCTAGAGTATCTGACACTATCCAAAATAAAAACAATATAAATACAGATAGAATACAAAACTGAAATTAAAAAGAAGGGAAAATAGAGACCTTTCCAGTAATGGGAAAGTCACTAGCCCAGCCATTCTAAATCAAGCAACAGGTGGGAGTCAGGGACAGAAGTTGTAGGTTGAGACAAGTAACCCAAACTAGCTTACAACTGAATCAACTGTTATTGTATAACTTAGGTGCAAGACAGATGGTCTAAAACTACATTAATGAAGATCAACAACAGATACAAAGTTAGTTTACATTTACTCACTGTTTCAATATTAAAACTTACCAAGTATGACTTCTCGGTAACCAGGTTTCCTTGCCAACTTTTTCAATGCAGAATTTCTGAGGACCGTTACTTCCTGAATCAAGAAAACATACAAGATTAAATTAAATGTTGTTTTTAAACCAGTAACAGTGTAGTGTATTTATTAATGTATGCTTATGCTAGATGAAACGTAGGATTAAGAAATGAGCAAAAGATTGCCACTTGTTCAGAATAAACATAATACCTATAGATTGCGGTAGTATACTTCAGGGGCATTATACTTACCCATGAGCTCAGCAAAACCTCCCAGTGGTAACCGACAAGTACCAGTGACAAATTGCAGCAGTCGCATACGAACCTCATTGTCTGTGTCTTTTACAAACTAGGCAACAGAAATTCAGAATTACTTTAAAACAAAACTGAATACTACTATGCTAATACGGCTAGAGAAAAATAATACAAAACATGTAGGAACAAGATACTTGGAAAGCTGTGATTCCATAACAAACCTGAAGAGAATAACTTATAGTAAATTATATATGATATTGCACAGTGATATGGTGGCAAACATAAAAGCACTGATTTTGGGCTGCATGCACAAAGGTATCACATCACACTATGCACTGAAGGCTGGCAACACTTGTGAGTAGACAGGCTAATACATTAGATCAATTTATACCACATTTTAAAAAAATCTCAAAGGACAGGTTATTTATCATGTACAGTAACTGGATTCTCAGAGATGTTTGTCCCTGTGGGTGCTCCACTTCAGGTGCATATACGCCCTGTGCGCCTTTGATTGGGCGCTTTTGGTAGCAGTGCCTGTTTGATCCGCATATATGTCCTAGCTATCCTGATGCCCTGCGTATAGCACAGTGTTGGGCAAACCACCTTCAGCAGTTCCTTCTCTATCACCAAGTCTAGACTCCAAAATGGAAGGGAAGAAAGGTGGGTAGTGGAACACTACAGAGACAAACATCTTGAAGAACTCCAGTTACTGTACAAGACAGGTAACCTCTCCTACTTCAAAGTCTGATCTAAAACTGTTTGCAGAACTGTTTGCAATACCACCAAGGCAGTGTCTTCGCTAGAGGTGTGTACCCTAAGGCATAGTGTTTTGAGAAGGTGTGTACCGAAGCCCATGTGGCAGCTTTGAATATTTCCATAATAGGAAAATTCTTCAGCAGGGTGATGGAAACAGACTGAGTTCTGAAAGAATGGGCTATCATCCTAGCAGGTTGAGTATTTGCAGCCTTATATCAGGAATGGATACAACTGGAAACCCATTCGGAGAGTCTTTGGGTAGAAAGAGAGGCCCCTTTAATTCTGTCTGTGAAAGAGAACAAACAGCCTGAGGATCCCTAAAAGGTTTAGCCCTTTCCAAACAAAAAGCCAATGCCCTCTTAAAGTCTAAGATGTGAAGGGCAACTTCCTCCCTAGTCAGATGAAGTTAAGAGTGAAAAACTGGCCCAAGTTATATGAAAGTCCGAGTTCACCTTGGGTAAAAGCTTGGGTGAAACAGCCAGAGAGATCTTCTCTTTTTAGAAAACTGGAAGGGGGACTTGACCATTGCAGTACCTAGCTCACCAATTCACCTAGCAGAGGTGACAGCCACTAAAATGCAGTCTTCATAGACAAGTAGAAGGGAACACTTTGTTAGTGGCTCAAAGGGAGGCTTCATCAGAAAGTTGAAGACCAAATTAAAGTCCCACACAGGAGTGGGTTCTCTGACTTGGAAAAAGTTAGCTAACCCTTTGATGAATCTGGAAGTGGTGGGGTCAGCAGGGAAATGGAAATCTGTGATAGCTGCTAAATTAACATCTATGGAACTCGGAGAGATCTGAATTCTTTAAACCCAACAGATAATCTAAAACATCCAAAAGGGAAAAATTGAAGGGACAGTGTCACTGGATATACCAATGGTGGAATCTCTTCCATTTCTATGGGTAGGTTTTTGTAGTCGATGCTTTTCTGCTATTCAACAAAACCTCTCACACAGGAGACCTCTACCGCAGACACACATCTAGAAAACAAGACTTGAGCTGCAGTGTGAAGCTCAGATGAAGAATGTATCCTGAATTTTGAGTTAAGGAATCAGGAATAGTTGGCAGGTGCAGTGCTGGACAAGATGGCAGGAAAAATCAGGCAGGGGAACCAAATTTGCATTGGCCCAAGTCAGTGCAATTAGAATGACCATGGCTCTATTCTGCTGATTTTGTTTAGGACTCTGAGGCTCAGCTGTGTCAGAAGATAGGAGTAGAGGACATGAGTAAGGCTACATTTTAGTCACGGGTATTTTTAGTAGAAGTCATGGACAGGTCATGGGCAGTAAAAAAATGATTACTCACTTTCTCGTAACTGTTGTTCTTCGAGATGTGTTGTTCACGTCCATTCCAAGCAGGTGTGTGTGCGCCTCGTGCACACCAGCCAGAAGATTTTTCCCCTAGCAGCGTCCATAGGGTGGGCCTGGGCGCCCCCTGGGCGGGGCCCCAATATCGGGCCCCGCCGACTCCCCACCCCCTCAGTTCCTTCTTGTCGACTATTCTGACAGAGGGGTAGGAGGGTGGGTATTGGAATGGACATGAACAACACATCTCGAAGAACAGTTACGAGAAAGTGAGTAACCGTTTTTTCTTCGAGTGATTGTTCATGTCCATTCCAAGCAGGTGATTCACAAGCTAGAGCTCAGGAGGTGGGGTTGGAGTTATCCACAGAAAGGAGCATGGCTTGCCCAAAAGCTGCATCGTCCCTGGACTGTTGCGTAATTGCATAGTGAGACGTAAATGTATGTATCGAGGACCACGTAGCTGCCCTGCACATTTCCTGAATAGTGACTTGAGCCAGGAACGCCGCAGAGGAAGCCTGGGCCCTGGTAGAATGGGCAGTGATCTGCGGAGTGGGCTCCTTTGCCAGGGTGTAGCACTCCCTAATGCAGGACGTGATCCATGACGATATGCATTGAGAGGATACCGGGAGGCCCTTCATTCTGTCCGCCATGGCTACAAGGAGTTGGACGGACTTCCGGAACGACTTAGTTCTCTCTATGTAGAACTACGCATGTCCAGTGAGTGCAGCCTGCACTCCCTATCGGAGGAGTGTGGCTTGGGATAAAACACTGGGAGGAAGATGTCCTGGGTCATGTGAAAATGGGAGACGACCTTTGGGAGAAAAGCCGGATGAGGCCTGAGCTGGATCTTATCTTTATGAAAAACTGTGTAAGGGGGCTCAGACGTGAGGGCCCTGAGCTCCGAAACCCGTTGAGTTGAGGTAACTGCCACGAGGAAAGCAACCTTGAACGAAAGATATAACAGGGAGCAGGTGGCCAGAGGTTCAAATGGTGGGCCTGTAAGCCTGAAGAGGACTAAATTGAGGTCCCAGGCAGGGACAGGCTGACGCATGTGTGGGAAGAGCCTGTCCAAACCCTTGAGAAAACGACTGACTATAGGGTTTCCAAAGACCGAGAGACCATCGGAGCCCAGATGGAAGGCAGAGATAGCGGCTAAGGGGACCCTTATTGATGACCGGGACAAGTCTTGATATTTTAGGTGAAGGAGGTAGTCCAGTATAAATGTTATGGAGGCGAGGAGCGGTGACTGACTACGTTGCTCTGCCCAGATAGAAAACCTTTTCCACTTGGCCAGGTAAGTAGCCCTGGTGGAGGGCTTTCTACTACACCCAGGAGGACTTGTCTGACCTGGTCCGAACAAGACAACTCTGCGGCACTTAGCCATGGAACATCCAGGCCGTAAGGTGGAGCGATTCCAGATTCGGGTGCTGGAGTCGGCCCTGGTCCTGCATGATAAGGTCGGGGACCAGCGGTAAGGTGAGTGGGGCTGCTATGGACATTTCCAGGAGCGAGGTGAACCAGTGCTGACGTGGCCACGCCGGCGCTATTAGTATAACTTGGGCCCGGTCCCTGCGGATCTTGAGGAGCACCCTGTGGACTAGCGGGATGGGTGGGAAAGCATATAAGCAGGTAGCCCTCCCAAGAGAGAAGGAACGCGTCCCCGATGGACCCTGAGCTGTGGCTCCCAAGGGAACAAAATGTCTGACATTTCCTGTTGCCCGGAGTGGCAAACAGGTCTATCTGGGATGAGCCCCAGAACCGGAAGATTGAGCTCACCGCGTCTAGCCGAAGGGACCACTCGTGGCCATTGAAGGTCTGGCTGAGGCTGTCCGTCAGCATGTTTCGCACCCCTGGGAGGTATGAAGCCTGCAGATGGATCGAGTGGTCTATGCATAAGTCCCACAGAACAAGAACTTCTTGGCACAGGGGAGAGGAGCGTGCACCCCCCCCGTTTGTTGCTATAAAACATCACTGAGGTGTTGTCCATGAGGATTGAAACACATCTGCCCATTATGTGCGTTTTGAAAGCGTAGCATGCCAGACGCACTGCCCTCAGCTCTTTGACATTGATGTGAAGAACGAGGTCCACCGGAGACCTTGGGTCTTGAGGTCCCCCAGGTGAGCCCCCCAACCCAGATCCGAGGCATCTGACACCAAGGTGAGCGAGGGCTGAGGGCTGGCAAAAGGCACCCCTGCGCAAACCATTCGAGGGTCGAGCCATCATAGGAGGGAGTCCAGCACCAGGCGGGGCACGGTTACGATCCTGTCCAACGCATCTTGGGCTGGTCAGTACACCGACACTAGCCAAGACTGCAGTGGGCGCAGCCTGAGCCTGGCATGCTGCACCACGTATGTGCAGGAAGCCACATGTCCCAGCAGCTTTAGATAGTTTCTTGCCAACATCGTGGAGAACTGTCTGAGGCTCTGTATGATGTCCTGAAGTGAGTGAAACCTGACCTCCAGGAGGTACGCCCTGGCTTGGGTAGAGTCCAGGATCGTGCCTATGAACTCCTACTCTGTCACCGGTGACAGAGTAGATTTTTCCTCGTTCAGGAGGAGACCTAAGTTGAGGATGGTCCTCCTTATAAACTCGACCTGAGCCTCCACCTGGGCTCTTGAGCGACCTTTGATCAGCCAGTCGTCAAGGTATGGAAAAACCTGTATCTGGTGCTTGCACAGGAACGCTGCGACGACTGCCATGCATTTTGTGAATACTCGACAGTCCGAACGGGAGGACAGCAAACTGGTACTCTGTTCACCACAAATCTGAGGTAGCGTCTATGGTGTGTGACTATTGCGATATGAAAATACGCATCCTTCAAGTTGAGGGCAGCGTACCAGTCTCCTGGATCCAATGAGGCGATAATGGAGGTTAGTGAGACCATGCGAAACTTGAGTTTCTTTACGTATTTGTTCAGCTGTCGCAGGTCCAGTATGGGTCTGAGGTCCCCTCTTGGCCTTCAGTATTAGGAAATACCAGGAGTAGAAACCCTTGCCCCTTAGGTCCTTAGGAACCTCCTCCGCTGCCCCTACCG